TTGGAAACCTAGAGAAATGCACTTCTGTAATAGTGTAAAAATAAAAATTATTTGATAATCAAGATAGAGCTAACAAAAAGATTATGAAAAATTACTTGATTGTTGAGAAATGTATAATACTAGCTGTCATTGCTATTGAGGAAAAAAGTATATAATGTAAAATGTTTTTTTCCATTGGTTGAAAATGCAATATTGGATACATTAATTCTTATTAGTTTTCAGAATCTCATTTTTACAAAACATTCCTAATTTTATTCATTTTTGAAACCTACTGTCTTTAATATCTCATATAGCATATTGAAGATACCTGAAGTAGATCAGAATATTTTGATAACTACTTTAATAGATTTTTTTTCCCTCAGAGTTGTTGAGAGATCGTAGCACAAATGAAAATTAAATTCTGTAAATTTAAAGGAAAATATACACATTAAGTTGCAAAGAAGTTAGTAAAGAGAGTGCTAGCCTTGAGTGGTATGGGTGTGGGGAGTAGTTAGACACTAATTTGAAATGTGTTAAATGGAATTTTATTTATTTTAAATATAACAAAGAAAAATATAAAAGTTTTCATTTAGTAAGCCTGTCAATATTGTGTTTAGAAGGTCTGAAGAGAAATGAATGAAGCTGAATTTATTTACTATGTCTGCACATTTAATCTGTAGGTAAAAGTAATGGCACACATAGTTACAGTTTAATTCAGCCTTGCACAAGGTTCTACTGTATTCCAAAGACAGAAACTAGTCAAGGAACTGCTAAGTTTTTGTGGGAAAAAGGAGTTGTTTTAGCAGCTTTTCTAAAACTGAGTACAACCATAACATTTTAATTTAATTATTAATAATTCATATAACACCCTCCTGAGGTAGTTTTTAATTTGGAGAAGGTCTCTTCATCAATATCAAGGGGAAAATTAGGTAAAGGAGCCATAGTGATCAGTTTAGACAGAAGTCTGCTTTATAGTTAGAACTTCTGTGATAACAGTTGGCTTACTATTTAATTAAATGTATTTAACTTACTTTACTATGGCACTGTTTTATGCTGTTTCTGGGAAATAATAAAAGCATCCATTTTGTATCATTATATATTGTTTGAATATGAACTCAGATGGAATTAATTCCCTTCAGTGTTTCTAAGTAGTAGGTTTTACTTACACAAAAGTCTGTCAGTTCTTGTAGTAACTATTTTTCACCTACACTTTTTTTTTAATGTTATGTGGGTCTTTTGACTTGAATGCTCAGAATATTGCCATTCATCTACTTTGATTATGATTCTAATTTAGGCATAAAATTTAATATTTAATTCTCTGAAGAATGGGAACATACACCAAACTAATGCTCAGCAGAAACACTAGTGATTACCTATAGTTTTTACTACAGCTATTTTTACTTAAATTACAAAGACCGTATTTCCTGGAATCCCATAATGCCTATTGTTTTAGGATAAAAAGCAAGTGTAGCAATTTCTGGGAAGATATATGTAAGTATGATTTAGTCACCATTATCATATCCATTTAGCTTTTCTCTTTTTCAAGGATTTGTCCTGTTGTAGCCAGTTTGCTTTAGAAAATCCAGTGTTAGCCATATACAAGTGTTTGTGTGTGCGTGCGAAAAGGTGGCCATGAAGCTCACAGTGTTCCAGGACACAGCAAATGGCGTGTACAGCTGCTGTCTCAAATTTTTAGAGCAGTTGACAAATTGAAGAAAGTACCATTGTTGAACTCATAATTCTTAATGAACTGAAATGTCTTCTGAAGCTGCAATCCATTTTAAAAATCTGAATTTGAATCAGAAGATTTGTAGGTCATTTTCTTAGGTAAATATCTGTGATATTAAAATTATAAAGGGCTTCCCTAAATGATAAAGATATAGATATATGTTTATATATTAAAAACACACATATTAGTTACCTGAAATGTAAGGTTAACAGGGAAAAATTTTTTTGAATTAGCGGTAAATTGGTTCATCCAAGTTCGCAGTTTACTTTCACAACATAGGTGTGCAGACAGTTTGTTTAGATGTTTAATTTTTTCCCCCATCTGTTCTGCCAGGATTATTGATTGAGTAGTGAACCACTCCAGGGCATACATAGCCTGCTTGTAATTGCTTGCCTTAGGTACATTGTGTGGCCTGGTGAGTAAGCTGAGAAGGATGTCCCTTCAGTCTTCCCGTTCTTCCCATAAATTTAATGGCAAAAGAATATTGGAACGAATTTGTTTTTTGAAAATGCCCACTAGCCAAATAAATATTGAGATTGAGAACTTTAACCAAGGGTATCATTCTAAAATCGTTTGTTATTTAATAGAAATGTTTTAAATTAGTAACCAGTCGGGAGCAATTTGTGCTGGAGTTTTTTTGTTTGTTTGTTTTGTATTTCTTTTTCCTTTTTCTTTTAAAACTCATCTGGTGGTGGTTGTTGAGAAGTGCCCATATCAAATATCAGTCAAATATTATCAGAATATTTACTACTAACAGTACCTTTCTTGAACCTTAAGTTTTGTTTTATCAGAAAGTAGAGCAGGTTCTGGCTCCTAGTAGAGAGATTTAAAGTAAGCTTTTTTAACCCTTGAGTTTGCTCTTCTCTTGGGTTTTAATTTGATATAGCTTATCATTTGTAACACTTAGATTTCTTTTCCTGTTCCAAATCTCTTTCCATTATCTCTGAGTACACAATCCTATTTAAATTTTGAGTTTCATTTAAAAGTCAATAGCATTGATTTTATAGATAAAGAGACACTTTAGATTACTTTTTTAAGGTAAGTCTTTTTCTGGTTTATTTCTCAAGGAGCATATTTTGATCTATATTTATACCTAAATTATATGATAAACCACATATTAATGGAGTCGAAATGCATCTCACCATGCTTGTACCTCCACTCTGCATCACCATTTATTTATCAAATGCTTGGATCAGCTCTCACAGTAAACATGAAATAAATTAGCTTATTTACAAGCAAAAAATTCATCAGAAGTAGCCAGAAAGAATTGCAACCTTTAGGATAAAGAATATAAATTCTGTTTGTTACTATAATTTTAAATAAAGAAGTGCTTTAAGTAAGGGAGAAAGATGATTTGAAATAATCTAAAAGGGGCTATTGGATTTGAATTAGTTAATTTGACTGTGAGATTTCCAGAGTACTTCTAAATATTAGGTTTTGAAATAATTTAAGGAGAAAGAATTTTTTTATGAACAGTAGAGATATGTGTAGTATATAGCCCCATGCAGATTATTAAAATCACTTTTATTTTTATTCTGATGTGTTTCATTTTATGGCTGTTTGGAGGTAAGAGTTGAACAGAAGTCTTTTTTTTTTTAATTGATAGCAAGGTCTATTAGAGGTCTCTCAGGCAAAGAAGATTGACTGAGTTGTTAGGGTGGTTTGGCTTCATATTGCTTAAGTTCACATGTTGATAAGACAATGCAATGAATCAGTATTGTTCAGTGCAAAGTGATTGGCATACAGTTCTAATTACAACATTATGTATCTATCTGTATATCCATTAAAACATGTATGTTCAGAAGCAAAAACACTTATTTTGAGAATCAGCGTTCATTTTACAAACCTAAATAAAATACATTTTATCAAACAAATTTTTGTACATTGTAGTTTATTTTTCAGTTGCTTATTTCTCTTCAAAAATAAAAAAACCTCTTTTTATGCACTCACTTTCCCTTCTGGCTGCAAACCAGGTATTTAAACAAAAATAAAGGATTGCCAGTTTTGCCAGCTGGGGATGAGAACCCGGCTGGTGAAATGTGGGTTCGGGAGGCAGTTAATCCAGCTTTTATGCTTTTTATGGTTTTATGAAAAAAGAGGTTAAAAACCACATTTGGCTCCTTTTCATGTATGCCACTGTTTTGTTGGTGTTGCAGGGATGCAGTTAGAGGGTACTTAGATTTAAAACAGTTAGAGGTTACTTAGATTTAAAATGTTTTTGTTATTAGGTAAAATCCCATACTAATTAGATAAAGGCCTACAAAGAGTACATCCTACTAATTGGCAATGAGACAGATCCTTGAATTATCAGAAGTCACTGGTATATTAAAATTATACCCACAGCAGTTTCTTCATCCTAAGTACATTAGTGTAATTCCTTATACTTTTTCAGGTTGTTTTCTGTTTGTTTGTTTGTTTGTTTGTTTTTTCTCATGTTGCTCATTTCAAACAAGGAGGAATTTAAAATATGTTTGGCTAGTGAAGAAAACTAGAATTTGTTGTTTATTCAGAAAATATTTTTCCTAGTTTGGGATTGACAAAAGATCCTGGAAAAATGTAGGACCTGGACTTGTGTTCATATCTTACCAGTACAGCTCCTGGTTGTCTTTAGCTATAAAACAAAGGTTGAACAATTTAATTAAAAATCTTTTCATAGTATTCCAAAAATGCTTACAGAATAGATCTTTAACATATTTGTTAAAATACCCTGTTTTTTAAAATGCCTTTCAGATATTTGTAATAATCATAATGTAATTGTCAGAAAAGTCATCCATAATTGTGTGGAATTATTGGGTAAATAATAGTCACATAGGACTAATCATCAACAAAGTACATAATTAATTCAAATCAAGATAGTCTAGAATATGAGTACTTCTTGCTCTTATGAAGTGTTCACTCATGTAATCAGTATACTTTTTTTAGCTTAATTTGTGTATGTGTATACTTTAATTTGTGTATGTGGCTTTCTTGATCTGATTTTCTCAAAGCTAGGCAGATCAAATAAAATAAGCTTTAAGATTATTCAGATATAGATATTTAAAATAAAATATTGATTAGGAATTTCTTTGTGTGACCCATTCCTGTTTGTATATGCTGATATATAATATATTGGAATATTGCACATTTGCTGTGATTTTTTTTTAGAGGCTACATCATAGTTTAAATGTCATAATCTTAGAATCTACCACCTAGACCTTGGAGATTCATTTTTGTGTAAAAATCTTATGTTTTATGAATAATGCCTTAAAAGTTAATGTGTAATAATTAATTTTTCCCCTGGTTTCACTTTTAGGTGTTAGAAGATAACGACTATGGCCGAGCAGTAGACTGGTGGGGCCTAGGGGTTGTCATGTACGAAATGATGTGTGGGAGGTTACCTTTCTACAACCAGGACCATGAGAAACTTTTTGAACTAATACTAATGGAGGACATTAAATTTCCTAGAACACTGTCTTCAGATGCAAAATCATTGCTTTCAGGGCTCTTGATAAAGGATCCAAATAAACGGTAAGCTGCAAACGACACTGAATTCTTGATGACTGCCGTTAGAAATTGTGATATGGAAATTGATTCAAATATAGCCAGCTTCAAGAAGCAATGTATTTGGTGTAGACATCTTCCCACTGAGATTCTGATTTATTTTTGACTGCATAACACAGAACATTAAAAAACTTTCCTCACGAATTTTCGAAATAAGGACTTTGAAAGTTTAATTATCCAATTATGAGTGAACAATTTCTTAATTGCCCTGTTGATTGATAGAATGGGAATGGGAGGATCCTCAATCTTCCTTTCAGTCTCTAGGCCTTTATCTTTCTGCATATTTACATTCTCAAAAGAATAGACTTGTTTCTATACTCTCCTCCCACCCCAACCTATGTTAATATATCTAATTACTTTTTTATTGTTTGTCATTAAAAGTATTCTTTTCCATGCATGATGAAAGGATTGATAGCAAAAAGGATTGCTGGCAAAAAAATATCTCTATACACGTATTTCTCTTTTTTGTAGCTATACCTATGACCTGAAGAATTCCATAGCTTTTGCTGTTTTGCCCACCAGTGTTCATATTTACATATTCATTCAACACACATTGTTCATGTTTATACATTCAGTCAACACACATTTTAGAAATTACATAACATGACTATTTATAAAATGTTCCTTAATATATGTGTTCATATATGTATATATCCCCATATCAGTATTTCTCTAAAAATCCATTGGATCTTAAGCATCTGGAGGATAGATTGTTTTATATATTGTTGAATTTTTCCTTGACACCTCACATATGTTTTATTACAATGTTTTGTTTATGGTTGATGCTTAATATATATTGACAGACTGGATTAATGAGTAAAGGAATAAATCCTAAAGTTCGTCCTTTGTCTAACCTAGAAATAGCTTCTATTACATATGTCTAGGTTTTAATTTTATAAGGAATGTGATTTTACCCTCAGCAGAAAAATGAACAAATAAAATGATATGTGAAAAAACATCCAAAATGTATGTAGATATAGATAGCCATTTTCACATCTGTTATCTCCTTTGCTTTTTCCAGTAACCTTGTAGAGTAGATAGGGTAAATAGTATTCTTAGTTCTATTTGACTGAAGAGAAAAAAAGGCCCAGTGAAGGTTAGGCGATTTGTCCAAAGTCTGACTGAAAATTCATGCAAAATAAGAATAGAAAGTGAGTTTCTTGGTGCCTATTCAGTATTTCTTAGGTTTCTTATTTACAGTGCATTAATTTCTCAGTTCAAGTTTTGAAATGGGCTCCATTTGAGTTGGTTATGTCAGTTATGTAATGAGCAGCCCTTAGTCTTTAGAGAGCCTTTAGGCAGATTTACCCAGAGCTGTGACTTCTGTTTACTTGCTTTGGGATCTGATCTTTGGGCTGGTTTCAAAGGTAGTAAATTTTATCCCATCCTTCCTCACTCACCCAGATAACTTTGACAACCTGTCCTTTGTGGCCCACTCTGTAAGTGATTAATAGAATAAGGTCATACTTGTGATTTTCCTTTTGTGTCTCATTGTCAGCCCACCCTATTCCCATGGATATCACATAGTAGGTATTTAGAAACTATTGAATAAATGTGAGGTAAATGTTTGAAATGTTCATGGCCTGGTGTATAAGAAAACTCTCAAGGGTTTATCCACCCAGGTGTTGATACTGTTCTAAAGAGAGGATACAGCATTTTCTATTATCTGCTGTTTTATTTTATAATAGTAGATGTGTCCAGTCCTTCCACAACTGCCCTAGAATATCAGCAATGCAAAGATGAACAGGTCTCTGCTGTAGATGTTCATAGAATAATGTGGGGCACAACAAATAGATTCACAAATGCTCAGGTCAGACTATACAGATTGCTGTTGAAGTTATTATCTCTGTCTAGGGGGTTGGAGGACTTGAGCTGGCTCATGAAGAAGTTGGAGTTTGCAGTGGCATTCAGGCAGAGAAATTTACATGTAAAGTATAGCTAGAATTGCAAATGAACATGGCATTTGAGAAGTTCAGTGACTAGGGTGTAGAATGTGAGTTGGGTAACATTGGGAGAGGAAGCTGATATGTTAGATTGTAAGGCTTATGTTTCTTAGAAAATATTTAATCTTTATTCAGAAGGGGATGAGAAGCCACTCAAGTATTTAAAGCAAGAGATTGTGTAATCAAATTTGTGTTATGAAAAGGTAACTTTGGCAGTTTTGTCATGGGCAGATTAGAAGAGAGTAGAGCCAGGAGAAACAGAGCAGTTAAGAATGCCAATGAATTTGTCCAGATAGGAAATGGGGTCCTTCCTGAAATTAGTGGTAAAGCAAATAATTAAATAGAAATGGTAAGGAAGTGGGAGGAGTCAGAAGAGGCCTCTGAGGTTTCCAGTAGGGTGACTAGTTTAAAGAATGGATAATTATTAACAGAGAGGGAATATAAGTGAAAGAAGAGGCTTGATGGGACATATGTTGATATTAACTTTGGATATACCAAGCTTGAGACTTCTATAAAACACCTAGATGGAAATGTTAAGTAAGCAGCGGGAAATAATATCATCAGTTCCTAAAAGGAACACAGTAACTGAATGTGTGGATTTAGAAGCCATATACATCTAGGAGGTAGTTGGGGCCAAGAAAATAATGGAGAGGGTAGGTCATAAAGCAAAGAAGGCCTAAGACAGAAGCAAGGAAATCATCAGAATTTAAGAGGTAGAAAGAAGAGAAAGCTAACAAAGGACTCTGAAAAGTTTTTAGAAACACAAAGATGAGATTATAGTATACTGCCTTATATATCCTATTTATCTATTTTAAATACTGCCTGAATTTTTCCTGGTGTTATTTACTGAATTTCTGTCAGTTCTATCAAAGAATCAACTCTAATCTTGTTTCTTATTTCATGTTCTCCATTACCTTAGGATTATTCTATCAGACCCTCCTATATCCTCCTAAGCACAGTTTATAGTAAAGTATGTCCTCATGTTGCATGCAGTGACACTAGGAAAATAGGAATTCTGCTTTGCTCCTGGTGGTAAAGGATCCTCAGTAGCTGAGGATTTAGTTTGGCATTCTGATATTGGAGTTGTGTTCTTAGACATAAACATTTCAGTTCAAAGCATGTTTTGAAGTCTTAAATTGTGTATTAATGCCATTGATGTTGAAATTCGACAGTTTCACACTTTAAGAAAGCTTGTGTTAAATAGTCTCTCCCATCTTCTAAAATGAATCTAAGCTTGTATTCTTACACTTTCCGCAATATTCATGGCTGATATTTTAGTTATTTATTTATATGTATTTGATGTAGAATAATGTCCAAAGCCAGACTATTGCTAGAGAACTGAAGGGTTACATGAAAATGAACTAAAAGTGGATTAAAACCTTTTATTTACAAAATGATTATGATTGTTTACTCCAACTTCCACTTCATGTACCATCTCATGTTCAATTCAGATGAAAACAGTATGGAAATCAACAGTAACTTTAAGTTTAAGGAAATACAATGGAGTTCTGATTTTTCTCCAGCAGGCAGCTTTGATGCATTCTGTGAAATATTTAGTTCTTTTTCGAAACATGTGTTTTGGTGCTTCTGCATTTCCCTAAGCACAGTTTAGAATGCCTTTGGGATAATGTTATTATCTTTGATGTCTGCTGTAAAAGGAGTTTGCAGTCCCTGGGGTTAGAGGCTTGGGGATGGGAGGAGGTGTGATAAAAGCAATATAATATATAATAGAATGAAAAAAAAATAAAGGCAGGGACTAGAGTGTCAACATTACCAAATAAAGAATTGTCAATCTGAAGTAAATGTGAACATCACTATATGATCTGATCCGGTCTGAAAGTCCCATCTCTGTAGAAGAGTTCATTTAGAGAATTCATATAAATCTGGGAGTCAAACTCAGCTCATGGGAACTACCTATTACCACTGAGTATACCAAGGTATTCATTGATGGTTTTATTTCCATTCTGATGATGCATTAGAGGATCTGAGGTCCTTTCCGGTTGTGAGTTTCTTATACCTGATAATAACCAGAGTTCATTACAATTGTACAATAGTTTGTCTTCTGTGGTGTATTTGGTCTTTTACTTTCCCGTTGGTGGTTAGAGTTGGTATATGCTAGCCCACGAGAACTGACTATTAAATTTTCAGGAATTTTGTGAGCTGGTTGTTTAACATAATCATTAGTATATAAAATAATCTAAATAATTATTAATTACAAAGACTTAAGACTTAAATTATATGCATTTACAAATTAAATCAAGAATAGTAAAAGCAAAGTTAGTAGATACTCAAAACTCATTTCTCCATAATTTCATTACATTTTACTACTGTCTGTTTTTGAGGCTATCTATGTCTTTTGAATCTGTGTGGAAATAATATATAATGGTTCCCGACTGTCCGTCTCTTTCTACCACTTCGTTGAGGGACATTATAGTAACATTGGTAGCTTGAAATTGGCTATAATGGGAGTATTCACAAAACCAAAATTAGCAAATAACTCTAAGTTGAGGCTTGATTTAATGTATTGATTGTTTAGACTTAAGAATATTATGGAAAAAATTTTAATAATGAGGATTAAATTTAAGTTTGTGATGTCTCCCTATCCATTACATTGTAAATAACCAAAAAAAAAAAAAAAAGAGTAAATACTCTGCTGCTGTTCCAAACTTATTAGCCATCCAGCAAAGAAGTTGTTCAGATTACTAACAAGCAAGTAAAATTCTGATTTATATCTCAGTTATATCAGTTTAATCCTTGACTTTAACATAAAAATGTTAACCAGCTTTTATATAAGAACTAATTAGATGCAATTACATCCGTAAGTGGCTTTGAAATTAAGCAAAAATTAGAAAGTTTTTTGTGAGACTCACTTGGCTAATTTACTTACAGAGCATTGTGTATTGTATTTTTTTCCTTGTAAATTTTTTGCCTCACATTTTTTATATCAGTAAAATTTATAATAATTTTATACATTTTTATATGCATAATGTCCTCCAGAGGGCTGATTGGTAAATATTTACCAGCATATTATCATTTCTAACCATGAGCAAACAAAACTTGCTATGCTAAATTCAGATTTAAATAGTTTTTTTTTCCTCTTTCATTCCTTGTTCTTCTTTCTTTTCCCCTTCCTTCCTCCCTCTAGCTTTTTATTTTCTTACTGATTAGTAAGTACTATCTTAAACACCTTTATTTCCTATTGTGATAGGTATTGGTTAAATAAAAATACTTTTTAAAATGGAGGAGAGTGTATTTTTAAGTTTTTAGTTCATATTGCAAGTTGCAATAACAAATAAAGTTATAATATTTCATAGATTGATAATACTATTTCTATGGAATTCATTTGAGATATGAAAATAGTCCATAAGTTTCTGCCTATAGCAATGCTCCTCATGTTATTTTTCTAATCAATTATTTAGTTAGGTTAGAATTTATATTAATGAGCATTTTAATTTTTTAATTTTTCCATAGGATGTGTGCACTTACTAGAGACAGAGAGGGAAAGTGAGAAATCACCCACCAAGGTGGGTGGCCATATTGCAATCTCAATCTCTTTTCCATTCTCCTCCCAGAGTTTTGGGCACTCACATACATGCTACTGGTGTGATTTTCAAGCCACTGGTACGGGACTCAAACCATGGAGTTGGCCAAGTTGGATCCAGTGCCTTAACCACCATGCCACCTGCTTGCCCCACCAAGGTTAAATTTTCACTTGTTCCAAAATATATTTGGTTTCTAAAACTGACATTGATGATAGTTATCATTTCATGTGGGTAGGCACTTACCTGTGCTATTTGTAACCCTTGCAATAACCCACCAGGCAGGTATCATTCTTGTTCTATAGATAAGAAAACTGACATTAAGCCACTTTTTCATTGTCTCACATATCATAAGTGCTAGTGATAGCTGCAGCTTTCAGATCTGTCCCCAGTATCCCTTCTCTTTTTCTAAATATCATGCTGTTCTGAAGCTAGTTCTTGTTAATATCATATTAGGAAAGTTAGATCTTACAGTAGCAACTTTTTAATGTATGTACATGGCTAGTTCTCCCAAGAACTACTTATCACATTGAAAATGATACTTTCACAAAAACTTTTTTTTCTTATGCATTGGGTTTATATAAATGTTTTATAGTCATTTAATTTTATTTCTGTCCTCATAGACTTGGTGGAGGACCTGATGATGCAAAAGAGATTATGAGACACAGTTTCTTTTCTGGAGTAAACTGGCAGGATGTTTATGATAAAAAGGTAGGATATCTTTATGGCTTACTATATACAAACTGACTCTTCTGCTAGAATGAATTTACAGCAAAATAATTTTAAGTTAATAAAATGTAATGATATAATGATATTTTCCCTTTTATTCTGATGCTTAAGTGATTATTGAACTTTTTAACCCAAATTATATTTATAATTTGACTCTTCATGTGCCTCTTGAAATTTTATTCAACACTGCCAAAGAATTTTATGTTTTTCTCTTTTTTCACCATAATAGTAGGTCATTGCCAAAGTCATGATGTGTTTTTCTGGTTTTCTATGCAAAAATATGTCATAACTTCCTCAGCAACCCAATGGTTTGTTAATTTGCCTTTCATTATTTCCTTGATTGGGGAAAAAAAAAAGACACCAAATATTATGTGGGGTTTTTCATAGGTATCATTTTAAAATTTGCCCTTATGTCTTTAATTTTAAGGTCAACACTTGACATTAATTTACACAAATTCTCAATTTTTAAAGACCTTTAAAGACTTTAGTTGTAATACTTAACCAAGTAATAAATTTGTCTTACTTTAGATTTCTTTATTACTTCAAACAGAACATTACTGCCCAAAAACGGAAGCTACTAATTATGTAGCTTTATTTTTCTTATGATCTGTTTATTACTAGTTTTTTTTGGAGAGGTTTTTGCTATAGGGCGCGTTTGCTTACCAGAATGACAGAGAGAGACAGAGAGACAGAAAGCTTGAAATCACCCCCCAGGGGGGATGGCCACGCCACAATTCCTTCTCCATTCTCCTTCATTCTGCCCCCAAGAAGGCACACATGCACGCGCACCTGGCGTGAGTTTAAGCCACCGGGTCCTGGACTCGAACCGCGGTTGGCTACATGGGAGTTCAGTGACATAGCCATTACGCTAACTGCTGGTCCTTTTATTGCTAGTTTTAATACTGCACCTTTTTGTTTCAATTCAGGGACAGGAAATTATCATATTTGTTCTATCTTATAAAAAACTTTTTACTATGTTTATTGTTAGTACAGACATTGATTTTGATACTTTGATTTTCAAGTGCTTGTAGAACATTTTTACTGTGAAACTTCTTTGCAACTCAGTAATTTGCTTAGAATTTTTATTGAATTATTTTGTTATCCCATCTACTTCCATTTATTACAGCTTTGCATATTTTTCTTTGAAACATTTATCATTCAATAATATTTATGTAGGGTTGTTTTGTAAAACGTCAGTCAACAGCATTTATGTAGGTCCTATTTTGGTACAAGTGTATTAACAGTTAAAGATAGAGCAGTCATATGAGTGATGAGAAAGTAACACAAGTACTACATTTCTGTATTATGTTAGTGGTAATAGGGAGTACAGTGATTTTCTATTCTTATTATGTAAGTAGGAGTTTATAATAGTCAAAGCATATTGAATACCTCTACTCAGAACTTCAGTTCATTTGAACTCACATACCTTGAGTTTTTTTCATGGATAAAGCACTATGGTAAGTACTAGATCCTTCACTACTCTTAGAGAAGCATGTAGCCAGTCTTAAATGTCCTAAATGTTTTATTAACTTCATATAGATGATTTTCTATCTACTTTATATTACTGATGATAATCTTTCTGAGTTGCATGTGTATGTGGAAAGGTTCCTAGTGGGCTGTGTAGCGTTGACATGTCAGTACATTACAGAAGAAACTGAGGAACATCAAGGTCTTTCTACGTCTCCCAGAAATCAGTCAGAGGTTTTCTTTGGCACACAAAACAACTAAATATTATCCTTCAATACACTTATCCTGGAAGGACTCATTTAAAAAAATAAAAAGAAATTGTTTCTTGAAGAGACATGGTTGGGGCATCAGCGTGGCACTGCTAACTTAAAGAAAGAGTGAGGCACCTGGCTGTGGTGCAGCAGTGCCGTGCAGTGCTGAAATCCATATGGTGACAAAAATTTAGAGCTGGAGGGTCAAAGTGAGATCAGACCTCTTAGAGGTGCTTTCACTCTCTTTCTCCCTTCTTTTCATATGCATACACATGTGCCTTCTTTATTTTAAAATAAAGGATAGGACAAAACATGGACTTTCTTTAGTCCTGTGAAGAGATTAGGTTTCAGTTATTCACTTTACATGGTAGCTTGGCATCACCTGAGGAAAGCTCTGAGACCCCAGCGACATACTAGTGAAGAAGGAAGGCTTACCGCACCTCTGCTCTACTGGAGTATGCCCAGAGTAAAGGTGATATTCAGATGCATAAGCGGCTCCCTGAGAGGATGGAATTAGAGGAGTCAGCAAGTATGGCAGGGAGAAGGGGCTGCCACAATATACATTATGATGTACTTGAATTAATTTAATTTTTGTAATAAAAATGGATACCATTTAATTTGAGCAAAGGTATTAAGCATCTTGCATAAGGAAGCCAAACTAAAAAAGTGACAGAGTTTTCATAAACCACAAATTGGTCATAGGCTGATAACTACTTGCGGTGGCCTTGTGTCTGATGAGGTATGCATGTCCTCAGTCCTCCTCACACACTTGAGGAACAGTAGCATTATAGCAGTGTTCTTCGAGTCTGAGTCACTTTTTAAAAGGCTATGAAGGTGTGATTGGGTCTATTGGGGTTTGTATCATATCACAAATAAACAAGAAATTAGTGGGAACCAGTAGTTAGCGTAATGGCTATGTCGCTGGACTCCCACGTAGCCGACCGCGGTTCGCGTCCCGGACCCGGTGGCTTAAAACTCACGCTGGGCACGTGTGCGTGTGTGCCCAAGATCCCGAGAGGAGAATGGAGGAGAAGGGATTGCGGCATGACCATCCCCCCTGGGGGGTGATTTCTCGCTT